TTCAAAGATTTTTGTTTTACAAGGTGAGGATTTCCTATAACTTATGAAAGCTTACATGTTAAAACCACATACAGCTTTTCAAGCTGTATCTACATCATTCAATATCTATAATATCATTGGCAGGTAATTAAGTTAGGAAAAAAACTCCAAACTCATCTAAATTTATAATGAAACAAACAAACAAACAAACAAACAAACACTACTAATTGGTACCCTGTTAAAGAAAGAAGATCAGTGAAAAGGCACAATCTGCAAGTAACAAGGTTGCAGTTTTACATTTGTAAAAATAAACAGAAGCACTCCTCAGTGAGAATGCTTGCCATGTAGACAATACAATGCAATAAAACAACATGACTTAGATTTGGTCAACGGCTTCCCTCTAAATATATTTTGACTATGCAGGAACAGAATTGTTACTAAGAGCCTTACTTTTACTGACCTTAACAAAGGTTCTTTCATGTACATGTATCTAAAGATCTCTCTACAAATTTTAAAGTATTCTGAAAATAAAGACTTTTACTGAACTAGTGGGTGAGGACTAAATTTCTTATCTCACAGTTTCAAATGTATGTATTTTGCTGCCATTAAGACTAAAATACGATTTCTGTTATTGAAGGACTGAACTCTCCAAATTATAATTTCACAATGAATTAAGTATGCAGCTACATACTGTCTCTCTTTCTTTCTTACACTTTCTTTGTTCACAAATACTGTAATTTTCTGCCTCGTGTAAATCAATAGCAAAAACTTCCCTACTAAATAGGTGGTCAATATTCTGGGCACTAAACAGGTATTAAAAAAATCATTGAGGCATGTGTCTAGATAAAACATTTTTTCCAAAGATGGCCTAAGATCAGTACATACAAAGGCAGCAAATCTTCTCATAAAATCTAACTAAAATTATTATTTTTTAACCATGAATCTATATCCTCTGACTAGTCTCCATCTCAAGGAAGATGAAGAAAATTGCAATTCTCTTGCATTATATCTTTTTATATTTGCAATGGTTGTTAAAGACGTGCTATGGCTTTTTATAAAGAGACATATAGAGTAACTAATTTGTTGAAAATGTAAATGGTTAAATAAAGTTGATGAGCTTACTTTCTTAATATTAAGATCTACTGCTCTTCCTTTGAAAATTCTTTTGAGATATAGCAACAAGATTATATTACACAGCTCTTGTATGTAATTAATGCTTTTAACATTATAAAAAAAGTTTTAAATGATGATATTCTTTTACATTTTTGCTCATATTTATCTCAAAATTAACAAATCTAATCAATAATGTCCATTCAGATATTCTGTTGTTTCTTTGAAATCAACATTTAGAATCAACTGAATATTTTTATTTTATCCCAAGCAAAAACTCAGTTGTTGGCTTGAATAGTATTGACTGTTAATCCTCTCTGAAATATACTGGATCAGTGAAATGCCATGCAATTTATCTAAACCTTCTATTTTCAAAGCAAATAAGCAAATTCTAAAAGAACAGAAGGTCTCTCTATAAAGACCTGAAGAACATTATCTACCTTCTACCATGTACATGCTTGATGCTAAGTGAATGTTAAGATTTATCCTCTGTAGGTTATCCTCTCACCTGCGATAGAGGTCAACATCACTAGACAGGCTTCTCAGGTCTGACATCCTGGTAGAAAGCAGTGATGCATACACACCTCATGGACAAACTGACATTTACACAGCTTACAGCAGGCTTCAAGATATGTCTTTTCTAGTCAATAGATGTATTTTGCTTATAATTTTAGTTGGACTAATGGCACAGCCTATCTTAGTAAAGAGCTTAAATATTAATTTCCTGGCAAATATTAACACTTGCAACAGCAATGGAAGAATGAGAGATCTGTGTCTGACTATATGGGAACAAATCTGATTTCTGGAAAGAGTATTTCACTTTGATATACAGCCTTTAACTTGGGTTTCTATTTTCTATTCAGCTTTCCATGACTTTAATCATTGTTTCTTACATTTCCGTACACACAGGTCTGAATACTGGGAATTTCTTGGGAGATCAGGGAGGCAATAAAGACACACCTCACACATTTTCCTTGAAAATCAAAGTGTGGTGAGTGTATCATGAAAGGGGCAAGCAAATTAATTTGAAATCACATTCTGCCACTTCTTCCTTACATAAGACTTTACATTGTGAATAGTGTCACCGTAGGGTGAAATATTTTTCAATACAAAACCATACAGAGCAGCCAGGACATTACTGCAGATCAACATACACCTACAAACCAAATCAGCAGTGACCTAAAATTACATTTTAAGAGTGGTTTTAAGTCTTGTCTTTGACAATCAAATCATAATGTAATGTTTGAAAATCTTTCTTAATTTAAAATTTCTTCGTAGAACTATTACAGGTAGTTGTATAGAAACACAAAGGCCCCAGCTCAGCGGTTCCTGTATTCAGTGAATGGTGCCTTACTTTCTGAGTACCTGAGTAGTTCTCCAGCATGGGAATTAACCTGGTCTCAAGTGAAGGATGTCAGCTTTCAGAATTATCAAAGCAAGATTTCAGCTTCTGCATGAACCTTCAAGCTCTATTTAGGTGAACAGTAATCACAATTCCCACTCCTCAGACTGAAAGCTGGATGCATTTCCAAGGGAAATCCTCTTGTCTAACCACAACTTCTTGAGTAAACTGTAAGATTTACTATATAAAATCTGTGGACTCTATTGAAAGGTAGAGTTACCTATATTCTTCTACAGCTGTCCCTTATGGCTTTACAATCTCTTAATCTGTACATCATACTATATATCTCATTTCAAGATGCTTGTGTTTTTTCTTTATAGTAATTTTTAGAAAATGCTATTTAACTAGACATTCATTACTCACAGCTATAATGGGAATCAAATTTTCTCATAAATTCAGAAAATTGCTTAATTTACGTGTTAATCCTGGAATTGCAATAAACAACAACACAATATGCAGAGGCATTTTTGTTGCTTAACACTTATTTACATTTAGTCGAAGAATAGGAATTTTGGAAGTCCTAATTTTTAAAAAAACTCATGAAACTGTACAACTTTGCAACAAAAAATTAAAGTAATACTTCAGGATTCCAAGGGGAATGATGACTATGTTGACTTAGAAGGAAAATATAGTGTCTAAGTTAGAGATGGGAGGTGATACAAAGACTGCATCTCTACATAAAAATGCTCTTTAAAATATGTAGGGAAGGAGAATACAGCTTAGCATGTTGTCTTAATGCCTGAGTTTTGCTCTATTCTAGTTTTCAAATATACTAGAAAAGAAATTCCCATGAAATTAAGGGAAAAAGAAAGTCACATCTTGGAAGGAGATGCTCTGGTACCCAAATATAGTTGCATCCAAACAGTAGTTAAAATTTCATCTCTGAAGCATGCTCGAACACATTAATCTATTGCCCTACCAGTTCAGGATGAAACTATTCTGCTAGAAAATCTCTAAAATCAAAGCGATTACATTGGCAGTGTCCTCATGGTGCAAAACTGAACTTAGTTACAAATATCTAATCAAGTGCAGCTGTACTAAAAAGGTCCTTACAGTCCCGTCTTGTGAATATTGTATCATTCATACACAATTTTAAGTCTAGATGTTTAAATGGCAAACAGACAAACCTGGGACTTCTGAAGGAATATGGATCAGCTTTTTCATGGCATTTCTATTATGCAAGTAAAACACAAGAGGAGGTAATAAGACGTTTTGTGACCAAGCTCTTCTTCTAGTCTGCCAATCCTGCTTGTACTTGGAACGCGACTACCTTCTGCAGAACTTAAAATATTAATTTGAAGACATTGCTATGGAGACTCCGAACAGAAAAGCTCAACTACCTGGTCCCTCTTAAAATATTTAAGCTTTTAATCATAAGGGATACTGGCACATGTGAACTCAAGCCCTGGAAAGCGGGTTTCATAGCGATGTGTCCCTGCCATTTCAGCGACAGACACCGAGTGCCAACAGCAGTGCCCATAAGGACCGCAGATGAGGAATTATTTCATTTAGCTTCTATGGCCGTGTCGAGGGGCAATACATCGTGGAGATTTCGAGCCACACCATGCAGGTGAGGGGACTGGGAGAGACAATTCCCTGGGCAACTTCTCCTTCCGTCGAGACCCCGTGTCAGCCGAGAGAGCAAAGATTCCCCGGGGGGGGCTCGGGGCGGGCACCGCCTCCGCTCCTTCCCCCTCTGCTCCGCTCCCGGCCCGGCGGCTCCGCCGCGGGCAGACTCTGGGGGCGGAGCCGGCTCTACCCCACCGAGGCACAGGGCTCGCCCCTCTGCCCCTGCCCGCCGCACAGCCCGCTCCCACAGCCGGTCCCGCAGGGCTGCCAGCAGCCGCTGTGGGTACAGGGACAGGGACAGGCGCCCCGCGGCTCCTCCCTCCCTACCCCGGCGGGCGCCGCCCCGGGAGCGGCAGCGGGGAGCGGCGGGGCCGGGGCCGATGCGAGCCCCGGGGCGGGCGCGCTCCTGCGGCGGGGACGCGCGAGCGGAGCGGGGGAAGGAGCGCTCTGCTCGGAGCGCTGAGCACCTGTGGGCGTGACCGCCGGCCCCCTCCTCCTCCTCCTCCCGCTTCCCTTTACTTGAAGGGCCGGCGCCGCTGTAGCGGCAGAGCCTGAGAGCGGAGCGGGCGGCGCACGGAGAGGAGCGGACTCGCTGCCGACCCTCCGCCCGAAGTGTCCCGGCCGCCTGCCGCGCCTCCGCCCCGTCGAGCCGCCGGAGCGGTCGGGAGGGGAGCTCAGGCTGGACAGGCCGTGGGGGGCCGGGGCGCGGATCGCCCTCTCTGCGCGGAGCTGCCCGGCGGAGCCGTGCCCGGCGGACGGGCGGCTGGCCGTGTCGCCGGGCTGCCCTCGCCCCTCGGTGGCCCCCGCGGCCATGCTGGCCCGGGCTGGGGGGCGGCGGCGCCCTGAGCGGGGGTCGCCGTAGAGCCGCGGGCGGGCGGGGGAGCCGCTTTAGCACCGCCGGGACCCGCGCTCCGCCTGCGGGGGCTGCCCCGGGAGGGGAGGCACGGGGAAGGACAGCGAGCTGAACAACTTCTGCAAATCAAAAACATAAAGGAAAAAAATAATAAAAAAAAAGAGGCTCGTTCATGGGACATCTTCGAAGCTCAGTACCACGCGAGGCATCCAAGCCGCAGTGAGCCCTCCATGCTAGTGAATCCCGCCACAGTGACAGGAGGGAAGCTGGCTGTGGCCACTGCTCCCAAGCCCCGCGGGCATTAGAGTCGCCTTGGCTTTCTGGCTGGAAGATGATTCCTGCAACAGGACCATGTTGCTGATGATGAACAGCAGAGTCGTTGGAGGATGCCTTCCTTGAGGATTACACGTGGAGCAAGGCCATCAGTCAAGGGGAGAGCTGGCTGGTGAAACTGTCTGACTTTCCCCCCGCCGGGGAAGTGGCTTCAATGGCTCCATCTCCCAGGAGAAGCAGTAGGAAAGATGCCAGCGCCTTACCAAGCATGTCCTCAACTTTCTGGGCTATCATGATCCTGGCTAGTCTCCTAATCGCTTACTGCAGTAAGTACATATTTGTCCTGGTGCTTTTGCTGGGCATAAATCTACAGCCTTGCCATGTGAGGTAACACTTCAGGTGAAGGCCAGGCTCTGAAGCTGGCAGGCGTGGGTACTGTGCCTTAGATTTGCTCCTCAGCACATCTCCTCCTACTCCCCTATGGCAAAGCAGGTAGACCGGCACTTTAATACTGTCGCTTTTCAGGAGAGTGAGATGTCTTTAGGCTGTAGATGTGGCATTTCCAGGCCAAAGAGTAACATGTCTTGCAGTGTAGAAACAAACTTTCTAGCGGTAGTAACCCTGATCCGCTCTTCACCGTTTATTATCAGATGTTAACCAGATTCCTCTGAGGCTGCTCCCTCCACCACGCTCTCCTAACTCTGCCCACCTTCAGTGAAGAGGAGCTGGTTTGCTTATGTTCATTCTTTTAGAAAACACAGACTTCATCAAGTGACAGATGTCTTAACATCCCTGGGATCATATGTGATCCTCTGAAATTCCATAGGAGCAAATCTTGGCACTTCCTTATCGTATCCTCAGCAGTTTAGTAAGCCCATGTTGCCTGTTTTAGAGCTGTATCTCAGGTTATCAGTAGAGTTTTTATATTCCTTTTTCAGGCTTGGTAGATTTTCCATTAATTACACTGTTGCAGATAAGGTATCTGTAAGAATCAAGTCTTTGGACTATAAATACTTTTAAAGGTCTTTATTTTTTTCCTGCCTTTTGTTTTGGTCATTTTTGTTTTTCTTTGTTTTACTTTCAGCAAGAATAATTTTCAAGCAGTTACATAATGTAAATTGAGTTAATGCCCATACTTCAAGTTAGGGAATGCAAGTTAGTCCATAGCAGCAGAGTGAAACTTGCAAAGAGAATAGAAAAAGCAGTTTTTACGCAATAATTTTAAAAATACGCAATTTATCAGGAAGGAACCACACAGTTTTGTCAAAACGAATCTACACGGTATTTTCCAACACTGAGCTGAGTGGGGTCTGTAATTTACCCATGGTGCATATTGCTTTCATTAGCTGTAGCATAAAAGATTTTGTACTAGGCTTGTCTTGTTGAGCTGTAATAGGTGTAGGCTATGATGAATAGGAAATAGATGCTGGTTCGCAGGAGCATACCTGCTGCATTTCTTAACCCTCTGTTCCATTCCCTCCAACTGTATTGCATTTACTGTTTTTCTGTGTATGTGCTCTGGATTTTTTTTCGAAATAAGATTGTAATTGGTTAGAACCTTTAATTCACTTTTGTTTTGCATATTGCAGGGGCCCTTTATACTGATGATGCTGAAAGTTGATTATTCCAAAAAGAGTAATTTTTTTTTTTTTTTTGTAACTTAGCACATCTTGCATTACACTTCTCATTAATAAAATCATATTAAACAGGCCACAATATAATTTTATACATAATACTATATTTAATATGTTAATATAGAGGATATACTAAACAACAAGGTGAGTTTTAAAATAATTTATTTTCTCATGGAAGTGCATATTACAGAATGAATAGTTCAAGTGTAAAGGGAATTCACTTTGATATTAGTGATAGGAAATATTTTGTTAAGCTTGTGCTAGAAGTGTCCAAGGAGTCACAGGCTTCTTATGAGAAGATATGGGATCTTCTGTGCATATATTTTCCATCGGCATGGTCTCAAAAAGAGTTAACCATGAACTCTGACACTTTAAAAATTATTTTATTTTCAGCATTGAGAAGTTTGACAACGTTTTGTCCTAAGGAATGTAGTCTTCCATTTGAATTGTTACATATTGTTCGTTGTTTATTTTTTGCATTGTTTACTGATGAAAAATGCAAATGTTGGCTGATAATCTGAAGACATATTCTAGTGTACTTAAAGACCAGTTTCTAATTAGTTCTCTCAGCCAGTGTAGATGATGTTCCTCAAATATGTAGTACACTCTTCATTTCATATAGCACTGAAAAGCACCATGCTGCTTAAAATATGCAGTGTCAAAACACTCCACCATTTATGTAATGCTTCACTGATTTGACAATTGCAATTCCAAATGTTAATGAAGCATCATGAACATTTTCTCTAGTGGTAGTATTTGAGACATTGAAAAAAATGGTTTTTGCTCTGTGAAAAATCAAGATAAAAAAAGTGAAGCTATTTCTTGGTAAAGCAGCACTTCAGATTTTATGAATTCTTTTAAACATCAGCTATAGTTTAATCAGTCTTTTTTTCATCTGGTGCCTTATTTTGAGGAAAAGATCTGGGTGTTGGGGGGGACATGATGAATTTTTAAAATGCCTTAAAAATAACAGGATTCCCATATTTCTTAGGAAGTAAAAGAAAAGAATTTGGCTATGTAAGGTGATCTCTACTTTCCCCCACATCTTATTGTCAGGTATATGGAAGTGTAACAATAAAGGTGAATATACTATCAAACTAATTACAGGAGCCTAATATTTTATTCTCTCTCACTGTATCATTCTACTGAAAACAAACCCTGCAGCCTCCAAAACAAAATCTGGAAAAGAACTTTTCCATTTTTTCTTTGTTAATAGCACTGTAAATACAAATTTTGATCTATCTTGCTTATTTCCATTTTTAATCAGTTAGTCTGACAAAGCTTATTTCTGAATCAGTTATTTGATCATTGCTTCTTCTTCTCCTAATTGCTTAATGAATCTTTGTTTCTGGAAGTGTATTTGTTGTACAATAGTCATCCCTATTACTGGAAGCAACCAGTAAACACCATACCCTAAGTTCCACTTGACAGATAAGCATATTTATAAAGAATGTTCTGGATGTGCATGTACAACCCATTAGACTTTCATTTATACTTTAGTATCTGAAGCCAACCTATATTCCTATTGCTGTGGTAAAATGATAAACTGATAATTTCTTCTTTCTAAATGTTTAGATTATACTTAGGGATAATGGCTCCATCCTATGGTGGAAGAGAAACCTGCATCAAATCAATTAGGTTAGTTGCTATAGTGATAAATATATTGTAATATTCTCCATCTGAAGGAAAATGGTCTGGTTTGGTAGGCTCTCAACAGGGGAAGACAAAAACAAAGTAGTGGAAATAGGCTGTTTATGGTGTGGCCAACAAGGAGTTACTTTACTAAGCAGAAGCATCATTAAATGCAAAAGCAGCCTCAGAGGCTCTTCTGTAGAGGGTGGCCACCTTCATGGCAATTCAGAATTAAAAGAGTTGTGACATTTTTGGATTCCAGACATGTGTCTTGCATACTTGTTTAATGAACAGTAGTAAACCAGAGAGAAGTACCTAGAGTGAATACCTCACGTTGTGGTTTTTTACTGTTTTAAAGGTAAAATGAATAGATTTTTGTTTTTTTTCCTTCTTCATAACTGGAGTATGCATTTTACCATGTTAGAAAGTTTGGTCAAATAAGGAAATTATATGTGATATCACAGCTGTCTGCTACATCAAGAATCTAAATAACAGTTTTGATTCAGAACTACTTTTTAGTGCATTTATTCAGTTGACTTTGCTATAAATACTGAGGAGCTTTTTATATGTAAATGGTAACTTTAAGCAATATATGAATCAGCTTTTAGCAAAGTTGTGGCTGTTATAAGCTTTTACTTTTTTCTTTTTATACTGTTTTTTAAGCATAAGGAGTAGAAAATTAGAGCCCTGTGCTGCTCTGTAATACTTCTAAGGGCGAGTAAATGTTACGGGTTTTTTTGTTTTTCTTTTTTTGAAAGGAGCTACCAAAACTGAATGTTACTTGGAAAATGCACCTTCTTACTTTGAGTACAGTGTATGGAAGAGAGCAGTATGAAACCCAGCATTTATGCTTACTAAGTGGTGATAGTACTAGGAAAAAGAAATCTAAAAGTCCAAAAATGCGAAGTATTTTAATATATATGTTTTTATATAACATAATACAGAAATATTTTTGCTATTGCTGAGCAGGGCTTACACAGAGCCGAAGCCTTTTCTTCTTTCCTTATTGCCACACTGGTGAGGAAACTGTGGGTACATGGCAGGTTTGGAGGGGACACTGTCAGGGCAGGTGACCTCAACTGACCAAAGGGATATTCCATGTGACATCATGCTCAGTGTATAAAATGGAGGGAAGGAGAGGAGGTTTGGAGTGATGGTGTTTGTCTTCTAAGTCATTGTTATACATGATGGAGCCCTGCTTTCCTGGAGATGGCTGAACACCTGCCTGCCCATGGGAAGGAATGATTTAATTTCTTGTTTTGCTTGCCTGTGTGCAAAGATTTTGCTTTCCCTATTAAACTGTCTTTATCTCAACCCATGGGTTTTCTGGCTTTTACCTTTCTGATTCTCTCCCCAGTCCTGCTCATGGGGAGTGAGCAAACAGCTGCCTGGGGCTTGGTTTCTGGCTGGGGTTAAACTATGAAAAACGATTATATTATATTACTTGTATTAACCTCACCTTAAACTGAGATCCTGTTACATATTGGGTAGTCACAGCTCATTTGAGAAATACCTTTTCATTGTCCTGTTCTGGAGTTGCTTTCTGTCTAAAAGACACGGGCTGCTATGGTCTTCAGGTCTTACTGTTTCCTTCTTGGAGACTGCCAGCAGGGGTGGCAATTAACTGTGACTGTCACCTGGCCACTTCTACAACAGGAGCTGCCACATCATCATGCATAGACTGCTGAACAGCTGTTTGATGATAAATGGTCACTGCCCATCTACGTTGGATGCAAACAAGTCAGCTCTGAAAGAAAGCCTACAGCTCCTGTTATTGATCTGTTATCATTCAGATCCCTTCTTCTGTTTTCAAAACTGAAAAACAGATTTAAAAAAAATCTGTTTACCTGATCTGTAACTTTATTATATTTTCTGCAAGAGTTACTACATATGTATTTTTCCCAAACTGCATGCAGGATGTGACATAAAGAGCCATTGTCATTAGTCAAACTGTTTGCAGTCTAATTTGAATATAGAAAAGAAAAATAATGCTTTTATGACATTAAATAAGAAAAGTAAAATATTAAAATTCTGTTTCTTTATGTAATGTCCCAGTTGCCCCTTTTGAAACAGGCTCAATTTTTGTGGTAAAACCACTGCTTTGAACTTGATGGCCTCTACAGTGTACTACCTGTCAATGTGAGTACCAAACTGACACTGAGATTGTCTCACCAGTTGTGGTGAGTTGTAGTCTGTCCCAATATGATGTATTGCATAGAAGTCCTTGGCATCAACATAAGGAATGTCTACTTACTGCTTTGAATATTGCATTCAACCCTTTAAGGCTAAGTAAGCACCATTACAATTTCTCAAATGTGTTTGAATTCTGGCAATTCATACCTCCATAAGTATAACCACTGATATGGTTGGATAATGGGAAGTAGGTAGGGCGGGGAAACCAGAAGAAAATGGATATTTTCAATTAAATATGTGGTAGAGGAGTTTTTCAGCAGGATTGACAGGACAGAGATTGAGACCCCTTTGACAATTTTTTTTTGCTGTTTATGTAATATGCCATATTTTTCTTACCATGTACTATGAAAACAGTATTGAGGGCCCTGCTGCTCCAGTTAAGAGTGTAAACGTGAGCTAGATTAGATTTTCTTTTAATGGGGCCCCATTAATCTTTTGATCTTTCCTTACTGACACTACTGAAGAAGCAGTAGAAAGTCCTTCACTGAGCTTAGCCCTTAGGAGTGGGTATTTTCCCACTCATTTTTCTCTGCTAGAAGGGGATGGTATGAAATGTGTTTCTAAGAGGTAATGCAGTGCTTTCTTAGAAAGTGCTCTGACCATAAGGCTATTACATGGGAAAAAAAAAAACAAAACCAAAACCAAAACAGCTAGTCCAGCATCTGGCATGCCAAATATTTTTTTTTAGAGGTATGCCTTGAATGTTGCCAATAACTCAAAAATGTGCTTGGATACTGTGCTTCATATAGAAGTGTTAGATGTATAGGCAAATCCAGGCAGGTTTGTATTAGCCACAATCTCCCTTGTCTGCATATTCTTTGTTGTTAAATTTAAACTAGAATATTTCCATGCTTAGTCTCATGTTTGATCAGGTGTGTTGTTCCACTGCTGGGCTGGGAACCTATTTTTTTTTTTTTCTGTGTTTAAATCTAAGAGTGTTTTTTGCACAGATGGTTGGTAAATTTGCTTATTGGAGATGCTTTGGAAGTCATCTCTTCATGGATACACTTTTATGTTAGCCCTACAAATAGGATAATGTTATGTGGTGACTATTTGAAAATATATGAACTGTATTTAGACTGTTTTCCAGTATTTTTGGTATAGAGGTTTATTTCAAAGACTTCATGCATGTTTTTCAATAAAAGGACTGTTTATGGATAACAAGTAAAATGGTAGGGGGTTTTGCATTTATGTGATGGTCTTTGGATCTCTTCCAAGCTATGTGGCCTGTGTATTATTTTGATCTGTGAATGAACTGCTTCTTTGGATGTCTTTCTTCAAACACTTGATTGCTGTCAGATAAGCAAAAATCGTCTAACTGGGGTGAGGAGTATGACTGTTTTTAAAGGGATCTCTGAGCAACAACCCTTCTGGTTTTCTCCAGTTACTCAATATCATCTGTGCTTTTGCATGTCCTAACACTTCTCTTCGTTGTCTGTGGTGCAGTACAGCAGTAAGAAAGTTGCTTCTCTAGAATAAAGTGTTATTTATTTTGCCAAATTATATGCTGTTGTTGGAGAAAACATAAACTGTATGTAAAGACACCTCTAGCTGCAATTTTTCTTGTTATAATACCCTTCAAGGTTGTAGGTTGGTGTGACTTATTTATAATTCTGATGAGTTTTACTTTGTTTATATATGTTTATTTATTTTGTATATTTCTGCCTCACGAAATCATAGAATGCTATGTGATGGAAGGGACCTTTAATAGTCAGCTAGTTCCAAACCCCTGCCATGGTCAGGCACACCTTCCACTAGACCAGGTTGCTCAGAGCCCCATCCAGCCTGACCTTGAGCAGTTGCAGGGATGAGAACTTTTCTGAGCAACCTCTTCAAGTTCCTCAACACCTTTACATTGAAGAGGATCGTCCTAACAATTAATCTAAACCTCCCATCTTTCAGTTTGAAGCCACTAAGGCTTTAAAACATTGTCCCTTACTATCACTGGATGGCCTTGTGAATGGTCTCACTTCTAGGCTGCCTCATTCTCTTGAAGCCCGAGTTAACCCATGACTTTATCTGACCCTTGGCTTCGAGTATCCTCCTCCACTGTCATATCCTGCTCTTTCAACAGGAGAGTGTTTTAACAGGGCGGGATTTTAGGGTGTTTTTAGGATCACATACCTTATATAATAAAGCATCCTTCTGCCTTTGCCAGCAACTGAAAGTAGCAATTTATGCTATGACCCCATTGTTCATTCCGGTGTTTTGAATGTCTGGAACTGGGACTGTCTCTAGTTTTGTTTTGTGTGGAGGTTAATTCCAGAATATAGTTGACAGATGTGTTCTGTTTGTATTTTCTGTACCAGAAACTGAGTAAAAGCCCAGAACAGAATGCCTAGGAGATTGGTAATATTTAATATTGCAAGTTATGTTGCTTGAGTTAATTACTGTTTTTTTATCCATTGTAGGGGAGAATTGTACTGACCAACTTTATTTAAGCATAGTTGTAGAACCTGTGATTCTGCTATATGTCATCTGAGAGAAGGGTCCTTAATTCTTGAGAAATCAGAAATTCTTGAGAAATGAGAAATCACTACACATGGAAAAGAAAAATTACTACATATGAAAAGAAGTCTAACAAAAAGTAAATGGGAATTCTTTCTGAGTTCTTGTTAATCCTAACATAATTTATAGTGGCTTTGATCTTTGCTCTTGGAACTCTTGGCTTTTTTTTTTTTTTCTGATTATCTTATAGTGCTGATCTTGGCAAATGTGTTCTAAGAGATAATACACTGACATATAGAGATACCTTTAACCCTGAATACCTCTATCACTCTCCATACTATCAGCTGTCAGTATTCCTTTCAGTGGATATTTAATTTTTCCACTGAACGAGACCAGTGTAAAGCTTGGCAGAACATCTTAGGCAGATGACAGAAGTGGGTTTAAGCTAAACTGTTGCACTGTTCATTAAATGGTTCAGTTGAATGTACAAATGTTGAAATGCTGTGGGAACAGTGGCTTCTGATACTTTTGGCAGACCCAAAGCCCACAGAAGTGATCAGGGGGATAAAGCCTATGGAGACCAGTAAAGAGAGTTGGAGTTATTCAGCCTGGAGAAGAGAAGGCTGAGGGAAGACCTTACTTAGTTAAATCAAGTAGTGTAATCAAGGGAGCTTGTGAGAAAGATGGAGAGAGATGCTTTATCAAAGCCTGTAGCAATGGGACAAAGGGCAATAGTTTAAACTGAAATAGAGTATAGATTCACATGGAACATAAGAAGTCTTTTATTGTGAGGTTGGTAAGACACTGGCACGGGTTGCCCAGAGAAGCTATGGATGCCCAGTCCCCAGAAATGTTCAAGATCAGGCTGGATGACACTTTGAGCAACCTGGTCTAGTGGAAGGTGCCCCTGCCCATGGTAGGGGGGGTTGGAACTAGATATCTTTAAGGGTCCCTTCCAACCTAAACCAGTCTATGACTTTTGTTCACTTGCTTTGAATTAAACAAATAAAAGTGTAACAGATATTGAGAGTTTACCTGCTACTGATAGAATTCTCTTGTGTTACTGAAAGGGTTCCCTGGTTTCTCATATTTTGAACCAAAAAGAACCTTCTATTTAGTTATACCTTGGGTAGGCACTTTTCTTCTGTGCAACCTAAAAGAAATGTGGCTGTTTCTATTATTTATTTTCTATACCGAATAAATTCCAATATAGTTCTATGTATCAGCTTGAATCATAGAAAATAAAAAATTCTTTCCTGAATAGAGCTAATATAATACCCGAGTTATTATTGGAAATAATTTCGTTGAAAAATACCAGGTTTTCCAGAGTTTTCTAAGTATTTACTGTCAGTAATGCTCTGTTGAACATTCATTGTAAGGTGAGAGTATATATGGTTTTGTGTGTATATGTGCTCAGTAAAAAACATACCAATATTTAAAATAAAAATAAGAGGCTTTAAAATTTGATAGCACCAAATTTTACTGAAAGGTAATAATTTTGATGAAATTACCTGCTCTAAAGCATTTGACCTAACATGTGCTTTTTGAGCATAATATCTGGAATAATGATTCTTTTAAGATATCATTTTAAAGAACTTTCAGAGATGTTTTCATTTTAAGTTATCAGCTCCAGCCAATACAAACAAACAAAGCTGCCAAACCCAAATATAAATGTTCTGGAAGTCAGATCCTCATAGATAAAAAGAAACAGCTGACAAATAGTTTCATCTGAACAGTAGTCATCTACATTTGCCATAATCTCATTTTAAAGTCAGTGAAAGCATAAACATTTTCACGGTGCAGTTCATGTGACCTTTTTTAGATACATGATAGAGTTTGATGTAAATTGTGCTGCAGAAGTGCTTGTCTGTGTTGGCAGATAGACAACTTGCTAAGATTTTAGCATATATGTTATTGCATTAATCTAGTCCATCATTACAGCATCCTTAGGATGTTCTTTCTATTTTCAAGTTCCACATTTAATATTGAAATATTTATTGCCAGGTGACTGGTTCAGTATTTCTGTAGGGAAGAAAAACATAGAAAAATGGACTTGTGATACAGATTGATTAAGCCTGTAGGTCAAGATATTGAATTAATGCACAAAGGAGTTTTACAATTCGTGGGATGTAGTTGGCATAAAATACTGGGATTTTCTGAAGACATCTTTGCAAACAGTTTGTATCCCAAATGTTTTTTGCAATTTTTTGCCTTACTGTAAATTATCCAGTTTCTTTGCCAATATTGTTGCACTCTGGACACTAAAAATACTATCTTCCCCCAGAAGTTGGAACCTGTGTGAATTTCAGAGTGTACCAAAGGTTGTCAGCTTTACCATTCCTTTTTTCTCTTTTTTAAACCTCTCCATATGAAACAATATTGAACACATTTTCACCATGCAAACTTTTACAGTGTGGTTAAAACATTTGAAACACCTTCATCTACTACTGATTTAGGTGAGAAAAGTTTAAAGGTGAGCAGTGTGTACATGTTATAAGAAGCTGCAGGGGCAAAGAAGACCTGAAATGCTTGCCTTGAATATAAAAGCAGATATGAAGAAAATAAAAGCTTTGTATGAAAAATCTTATGTGGTTATTTTTGGGAGGATATTGGGCTTTATGACCCGAAATGTTCCTCCAATTCTCCTTTTTTCAGTGTAAGTGCTAGTTTTGCAGTCCTTTTCATCTGGAGAGATTTGTTGCCTTCTACAGCTCATTGTTTAATAAATATGTTTTGTTCAAGGAATATAGTGCTCTTCACCTTTTTTCACAGTAAATATATCTTCATGGATTCTTTGTCTAAAAGCTGTTCAGTTCTGGTTGTGCTTGCTGCCTATGTAACTAGAGATCTCTACCTTGATCCTGTCTGCAAATGTAGAATGCCTTACTTGTCGTGGCTTAGAAATGGTATCCTCCAATTTAGTACTCTTGCTGTTCCCCCTCCACCCCACCTCCAATTGGAGGCACAAAATATTATGGGTTGAGAGAAGAACAATTTAGAGTAAAAAGAAATTAGATAAGAAATGCACAGTAACAGCAACAATGGTAATAATAAAAGTGTGCAAAAGAGTGATTCACATGCAAAAATAGTCACTGTGGACCCTGA